CATTTTTAAATAGTTATAGTGGTAAGTGGCGTAAGCACCGTAACAAAACTATTTAAAACGTCATCATCGTGATTACATAGAATGCATTCTTACACAAGACCCATTTGATAACCCAAGTTCAATGCGTAGGTACTTGAACTTGTGTGGTAGATCCGCATGTACATACACAGAATTACATAAAAGCATTTTATTACACTCTGTTATATTATTTTAATTTGTTTTATGACCTCGCATGTATAACATAGGTATATTTAATGAGTCTATAGAGCATGCAAGAGTGAACAAGTGTGTTCAGTACAATTTTCATTATAAAATTAAGACAAAAAACTGGTCTGTTTACGTAGCATCCTGATTCTTCATTGCCTGTATTTCACAGGTTCGCGGTGTTTTAATATTAATAAGCCCCATACACAAGGCTCCTACCTACCTACTTGCGAGACTAGAGCTTTTATGATGATGTTTACCGCCAACTCGCGCATGTCGCGCGTCTTCGTCCCCGGTTTTTGCTTCACAGGGTAAACTTTTAAAAAAGGATCCTCTTTGATAATTATAAACTAGCTACTCAAGTGTACTATTTCAATTTACAATGGGGTGTGTTCAATCTAATTGGGGATTTAGAACGGAATGTGTGTTATTTATTTTTGTACAAATGAAGTTTATTTACTGCTCTATCGAGTATTGTGAACATTTGTTTCCAATTACCTACAACTTTAAACTGAAGGTTTAGATTTATACTTCACAGACATACTTTACAGACAATAAAATTAGAGTTTACTTGATTAATTTTGTTTTTGTGATACTAAAATTCCATAATTATGGAATGTTCCATGTCTTGATCAAAAATCAATGGTAGGCGATGTACCTATATGTCCTTTTTTATGTGCGTGTAGGGTTACCATAACTCAGGAATATTTAATCGACATAATGGTTACAGTTAGCAAAGTTAAATTGTATGCAAATTGAATAGGTTTATACTGTCCTATAGGAACTTAGGGTTGTCTTTGATCGTAGTGTTAGTTGATTAACTGGTTTGTTTTTAAGGTTAAAAATTATGAAAGATATACATATCTTTAGTAGGTAATAATAGACTGTTTAATACCAAGAATCCACAGAGAGATTAAATTATAGGGTCTCTCTTGGGTTCAGGGGGTTTATTCAATATTATTTAAGTTTCTGACGAAACTGAAAGTTTAGTTACAAACCTTGCCTTGTTGTTCTTGAAAATAAGAAGTTTCCGTCGTGTTTGTTACTTATTATTTTATGGTAACCCTAAGCTTGTAGCAGCGGTGTACGTATGTGAGCGTGCCCATGAATGCATTTCTAAAACAGCTTGTCCTTACATCCTTTACCACGCAAGTCCTTTTTACTCGTTCCAGCGATTCTCTATGTACCTAGTTAGGTGTACACGAGCCTCGCTTTCAAATACTCTACCTAGGTACCTGTCACACGACGCAAGTTATGCATACGAATTGTTGATTTTTTAGAATGCTCACCATTATCTTAGAAACATTTTATTAGCCTAAGCCGCAATTTGATTAGTCAGTAATGATGAGATCATAACTGTGTAAAGTTACATTTCACTCTAGCTCCTCATTTATAAGTGACAAGCGTTTAATTAACCACCTGCCCGTGAATTAACAAGAGTTATAGGGACTGCTGACGGTAATTCGTAACTGAATATTTTAGGTCCACTCAAACTTAGCAAAGTTCATTAAAGTCTTTGATTGAGAGCTTCTCCAGCATACTAAAAGCTAAGCTTGTTGTGTTGTGTTGTTGCTTTGAGGTCGTAAATAACTAATTATTTAGTAGTTTTATTAATAGAAAATGCATTGTGTACGAGAATAAAAATTAAGTAGTCGGGGGCTGATTGCCTTTATCCATGCAGACGCGAAACCTGCGCGAAACTTATAACTTGGTTGGTAACCGTGTATTAAACTTAAGATACTAATTACTAATCACTGCAATAAGTACCTACAAACATAATTATTGCAATTTAAACACTATTGCGAGAAGTCGAAAATACATTGTAAGAAAAAATGGTTGATGGCCTCTGTTCATTGGTTATGATGTGGCGCAGTTACGGAAGTCACTTACTGGAAGTAGTCACGTATTTGTTGAAAATCAATATGGCGATTGTTACGCTAGGTTCAAAAATTTGATGGTAGGTATGAATAGTTACAATTGAAACACTAGTAAGAGCAATATTAAACTCAAAATTCAAATATTTCTCGAGATATATCTAAATAAACTAAAATAATAAAGTCTCAACATAACAATAGAGGTATTATTTAACTAGGTAGCATTCTTGTTACATAATAATTAGTTAATTCTGTCTTTTGTTACGGACATGAAATGAAAAACATGAAAATCATAATAATAAAGAAAGCACAGAATTTTAAATGGCAAGATAGTAATGATAATAATAATAATAATAAGCCCGCAGGGCACCTTGAGGCGAGGTGACGGGCATTAGCGATCCCGCGGGCTACCAGCATCCCGAGTGCTCCAGGGAGAAGTCACCGTTCCTTCTTCTCCGGCTTGCCTTAATTGGCTGGCTGGAGTGAACGATGACAAGATACAGGTCTCCCACCTCTGGCTTGCCTTCATTGGCCGTCCAGAGTGGAGTCGCGAGAGCAGTGATCCTGCTCGGAGGGTAAGAAACTATTCGTAAGTCGCGAGTGGGCCAGGGATGCAGGAGGCTTCGGCTGGAGCAGATGATCTGAGTAGAAAGCGGTGGTAGTTTCTTAACCCTTCAGCCACTCACATTCTCGTTGCCCCTCTGTTGCTATATCTAGCAACCATTCCCGGGGCCCGGTCGGTGAGTTGGCGAGTCTCCGCCTGCCATTTTTACGTGTAAAAATTACATTGTTTCGGCAGGTGCCATAGTCATCCATAGTTCCCAATTTACCAGTCCACAGCAACCCATCCATAGCCCTACCTTTTTTTTCCATTATTCACAATAGTCCTACACTAACCGGGGACTGTCCTTGGGTGCATTTCCATAGTGCATACAGGGATAGTCGCCGGTTTGTGTCTCCATTACATTTAGATTAAAGTTGTCTAAAGGGCCTCTGCGCAGTTGGCTTCGGCCCCTCGTACGCCTCCCAAATGACCGGGACCCTGTGGTCCCGTGAATGGTAAAGACATACAATAATAATAATAATAATAATCTTTATTGTACACCAATTTGAGACAGTATATCCAGTAATGATAATTTTTGTTCCGGTCAAATATCTTAAAATAGAGAAGACACTGGTGTTAAAGTTTTTTTTTTCAATATAACAAAGACCTGCTATTACCGTTAGATATACCAACTGTCAGAGTCAGAGACTACACATTTATTTATTTTTATTATTTAAAATAATTAAATGGAAGATTAATTATTTTAAATAATATATATATTGTCATTGTGTGACGACAAACTTGGGGTGTTGGCTTCAAACCTGGAATCAATCATTGACATACACATCACTCAGACTTGGAATAACAATTTGTTAATCATATAAAGAATTCTTTTGTGTGTGAAATCATACCCAAGACACATTACATTCTGGCTGGTTGCCCACTAGGTAAACAATTGAAAAGTTTTAGAATTTGACAAAGTCACAAATCCTACTGTGAAAGGAACTCCAACATTTATATGTATACTGAAAGAGAGGTAGAGTTAAATATTGTTTTACTTAAATGACAATCAGCCACGGTTTGCTATAAAACTAAACTCACAAATTAATTAAGTGCTTGTCCAAATTTATGAAAGAAAATAATATTAAAATATAATGGTGTGTAATCATGTAAATATTGTGTGTTATGATTGTTTCTATCTAATTATCTAGTGGTGTTAGGTAATAATATTTTAATTTTAGGTCTATTGACGGTATATGTTTACTAACCCAATTGTTTTTGTCCTTTTCAGCGACTAACAACTAAAAACTACCACAAAGTTAAAATTCGAGAGTGCATTAATCTGCCGTCACCACTCGACACTGGCAGTATAGTCGACAACATGGTAATGGAGACTCGGTTGCCAAGGGAAAAAAAAATCACTAAACAAAAACTGGGTCAATCCGCCACTGTCAGTCATAATCATAACCAAAAACAATACATCATTTTTTGTAGTCCATAGCCTACTGTGGTGGTCAAAAGGTTAATGAATGCATGATCAACCTATCATCATTCCAAATGGTCTCTGGCAATGCACTGTTGGACTATGGGCCTACTCTACATAAGAGAGAGTTTGCTGTATGTGCAATACCCTCTCGCGCATTTCTTGTACACACGGGTGTACGAGAGTGACTTGCACCGATTGGAAACTTTTTCTGTGATGTATATTTTCAAGTTGCAACCCAATCTTTATTTGATTGAACAGAATAGATCATTTGCTTTCTATTAAACCTGTGTACGAAACGTGCGAGAGGATACTAGAGAAGCAAGTAGAAGTAACTAAGGGAGCAATGCTGCCTGTTTTTCCAAAATAACACCAATGGAAAATCTACCTCCATGCATATTTTGGTATTAACAAATTGTTAAATTGTTCCTATAGGAAGTACTGATTTTGATTTGAATTGGGTTGATAGAATTTTCAAGAAAAATTAGTTGTTTAAAAATAACCCTCTTACTTAATCAACATTTTGGATAAGAATACATTTTTTTTAAACATGTTAAATGCACAAAGTGACTTTTGATCACAGTGACAAAAATTCATGATAGATAATGTGGTAATGTTATACTTAGTAATTAATGGTAATGTTATACTTACTAGTAATAGAAATACTTAGTTATGTATCTAATTTAGTTTGCCAACTTTGCCAAGAAGTTTCAGTTTCTGCTGAAGTTTAATTAAGTATGTATAAAACTTACATTTCAAACACAACAGAGTCAAAGTTATATTAAACTGATTATTTTCTTAAAAACCGAGTAAAACAAAAGTGTAAAACAAAAGGCTAGTTTGATTGTTTTGAATTGGATAGTTTTACTAAGGACGATTTATTTTTGTGACTTACCTGTACTATTTATTGACGATGTAGGATGTACAATGTAGAAAAATAATAAGATAAAAGTTCCGTAAAACTGATTGCGATGCATCTTGGACCACCGCTCCAATTCTTCCATGACACGTTAGATCTTCTTGTTTCGTGTTTAACACACTTTTGTTTACATTTTCTTAATATTTAGACACCTTAACACACCTTTGTGAAACTATGCAGAGAGTTCTGTCATTGTAAATCGGTTGCTAGGATTTTAGTAGCCACAACATTCGTTATACACCTGTGGAATTCGCTCGCCTTGCAACTATGAACAAGGTAGGAATTACTCACAACTTCATAAGTTCACTCAACTTTGTACGTATAAATACTAAGTTATTCAACCTTATAAACATATTATAATTCCACTTATGCCACTATTAAAAGAGTTTTAGTGTTAAAAACATTTCTAAATTATTTTTGAAAGTTTTAAAAACTTCGAAAGTTTCATGACATAAACTTCGTTGCACAATCGCCCGAAGGACGCGACTTCACTTGACGATCAAAACGGAACGGGTACCGAGTACCGACGGCGAAAAAGGTTTTTGTTTCGTTTCCTTTGATCTGTGTTCGGTAAACTTCGGCAACAGTCGGTTGCACTATTCGAGCACTCGCTTGAGTCTGTATCTTGATAACGATAGTTAATAGCTTTTTAGTCGATTACGATATTGCCAGTCGTGAAAAAAATTAAATAGAAAAAAATAAAACCAGGTGATTAAATAATCAGAAAATCATAGATGTAGATAAATAACATAGAAAATAAAGTTAATTAACTTAAACTGCAAAATATATTTGTATGTCTTAGCATAGACAAAACATTGCACACTGTTATTTACCTTTAAGATCTGTATTTTTGTTACTTAAGTATTACAAATAATAAATGATTGATTGATTTTGAAATATAATAAAAATGTATGTTTGCTTCTTTGCACAGGCTAATTTTCAGAACAGCTAAAGGAAAAAAAATCGTACCTAATTCTTTTTTGTTATCTTTTTTACCCATTTTGCTACAATTCAAATAAATTATAGTCAGATGTTTAAAAATTTATATGATATTGCAAATTAGCACGTATATCACAAAAAATCTAGTATTTAATTTTATGAAGAATACAGCTGTCTCTTTGAATTAGACACAAGAATGATAATTAACTAATTAGTGTAAGAGTATAAAGACGTTCAACATTTAGTTTTCATTTCGATTTTTAGTAAGGTATCGATTCCAATGTTTTAGTCGATTTTTATAATACACCCCTAAGCAGCCATCTCTTTGATATTTCTTTCCGAGTGTTCTGTCATTTCGGTTCGCTGAGGCGGGCATTAAATCCTAGGTAATCTTTGTTTTTAAAGCAGTAAAATTAAAAGAAAGTAGCTAATATTGTAAAGGATTAAGTGTGGTCTTAATATCAATTCGTATTTTAGTCAAAACAATCAACGTTCAGTGATAACCTCATATGATCACGGTGTTTTGACATATCTTCGTGCAGACGTGAAGTTCCTTGTTTTAAATTTTTCGGTAACACGAATTGCTGTTTATATTTCAGCCATGGTGCGAATGAATGTATTGAGTGATGCCCTCAAATCAATCCACAATGCCGAGAAGCGCGGCAAAAGGCAAGTGCTAATCCGGCCTTGTTCCAAAGTTATCGTCAAGTTTTTGACTGTGATGATGAAGCACGGATACATTGGCGAGTTTGAAATCGTCGATGATCACAGAGCTGGAAAGATTGTTGTAAATCTGACCGGCAGACTGAACAAATGTGGAGTTATTTCACCCCGCTTCGACGTTCCCATCAATGACATTGAGAGGTGGACTAATCTACTACCGTCACGACAGTTCGGGTAAGTTATTCATATGTTTAAATGCTAATTTAACTAATATGAAGATAAATGATACCAAATTTGGACTGCTGACAGTTATCTGAATCTCCAAATGTTTTTGTTAGAGCTTTCTTTTTTGTTAGGTTATGTTCATTTACAATTTGTCTCATGTTAGTGAGTCAATTCCTAAGTATTCTTAGCAATATTACACTTAATGTGTTTACAATCACTGCAGACATGTTATTTTTATTGTAGATACATGAAACCCTGAACATAAATATTGATAACCTTAAGTATGTACAATAAGCCCACGAAACATGCTTGTTTTTTAATCTTCAGTAGATTTATAACTTACGATGTACATTTTTAACTATTAGTACTTTTAGAACATATAATTTAAGGACAAAATTGAAATGTAAACAAAACATGAATTTGTGAGGATTGTTTGCGGTGTTGATAACCTAGTTGAAGTATCCTTAACCTCTAATTTTTAGATAGTTAACTATCTAAAAATTAATGACACTTTAGAGGATTAATTCTGGCGTTACTAGTTTCGCTGACCGAATTAGTTACTTTTTGTTGTAACAAGGACTTAATTAAGCCCTTTCGCAGTCCAACAAATGCTTTAGTAGCTGGCTGGATTGCTTTAGGAAGTTCAAAGGATAGGTATTATCAATTGATGATGAAGAACAAGCATAATATTTATGAAATTAATAGGTAGGATTTGTTACATCCCTAAATATTACATTCCTGTCAGACTAATATTGCATTACAATAACTAGTAAAGACCTATATTATCCAACTACGTATGGTCGGCTAGAATATACAGATTTATTATTGACAATTGCTATCCATCAGCGACTCTCATACAAGTGGTCTCATGTGGTTAAAACCATTGTATGAAGGGTCGCTGGCCACATGCTTGATCAGGTATTAAACTAGTTAAAGCAAAATAAATTGACTGTGCAAAGTTGCTGCAATGCTTTTTGTTATAGCAGCTTTAGTGTTCTAAATAACCTTAGAAAGTGGAAAGTTAATGTGTATAACTTACTATCACAGTGACACTTTAATATGTGGGGAACCTCGTCTTACCCTTCTGCTACTATAACACTGAAAAGATAACCTATATAAGTTTAGTTTAAAAAAATATTGTTTTGTTTTCCATGCGGTGTTGTGTGTGTTTAGTTAGTTTAAATTTTAATAACTTCCAAAAAAGTGATTTCTCAATTCAGCCATAAATGAGCTTTTTATGTTTAGTTGTGGATAACCATTATTTATTAGCCAGTTTTGATGATTCTTTTTCGTACATATATTCTGCATAACTACCGCGGATCACCAATAGTTCTTGTTGGTTGTCATTTGACATGTTATGCTAAATTAATTAAAATGTCACAAATTGATGTCTTTTATTATAATAGATGTTGTTAGTGATATTTGAACAAATTTTCTTTCTCCTTAGTTATAATGATATTTATAAGTAATTATAAATCTAATTCTTTATTTCTTTTGATTTCAGCTACCTGGTCCTCACAACCAGTGGTGGAATTATGGACCATGAAGAAGCCAGAAGGAAACATCTTGGAGGAAAGATCCTAGGCTTCTTTTTCTAAGTTTACTCAATATAAATGAAAATCTATCTTGGTGTTTTATTTTTCGGCAGTATGTAGGTTGATGAAGACCATTGTAGATTATTATTGTTTGTGGACTTATCCAGTAACTATCTCAAATAAAATTGTAAACATTTTTCTAATTTATGTAAGTAGTACATACATTGCAAGCATTGAGGTCCTAATGTGGTTACAATGTAATAATCATCTACCTCTGTAACTTGGTAACATTTTTTTTTTAATGAAACTGTACACAAATCCTTACTTGTGGAGCTTGCTTTGTATTGCTTATTCAAATTCACAACCCAAAAAAGGTAACAAATTTAGTACCTAATACAAAAAAAAACCTTTCTTCCTATAAACAAGTGCTTTTCTTATTCTTTGAGTATTGTTCCTTCTCATTATTCTGTTTCTAGGAACATTTCAATGTTTCTAGTCAATCTTTTTTTGGTTATCTTTATTCTTGTGATTTTGTTTGTAAACAATTTGACCATATTTTTTTATTAAACGCGGCTCTACAATTCGTTTATGTCGCCGTGGATGCATTGCGCCGTGAAACAACAATACTACCGAGCGGGAATCCAACCCTCGAGAACAGATATCCGTATTTAGGTACCTATACCTAACCCACTGTTGACTATAAAACATTGAATTGATCGATATGTTTGTCAACTACGCTGCGGCACAAAATGAAATGGAGCCCTTCTCCAATGTTTATTTTTTACGTGGGGCTACGTACACTTAAGTTTCTCTCATGTATGCGTTTGCAAACCGAGTTTACATATACATGATACCCAGACACGAAACCACAATTTGTGGATCACAAATTCATTTGCTTCGTGCGGGAATCGACCTCGCTACACGTTGCTTGACAGCCGGTTACCGCGCAACGTGTAGCAGCCTAGCGGGTGTGTGTGTCTGTCGTAGAAGTTGTCAGTCCTTCGGGGCGCCCTGAGGATGGGGATCGTGGCTAGCACGAGCCCCGAGTGCCCTTATGGTAAAGATGGCACTGCATGACATGGTGATCTTTTTATACAGGCATAGCCACATCTATAGAAAATAGATTACCTGATATTGGAATGAATATTGAAATGAAAATAGATTACCTGAATTATTTGGAAGACGTTTAATTTAAGACAAGCCGTGTTCGGTGTTAGTAAGCAAATTCTGAATTCCTATCCTAGCTAAGTTCACGATTTCTATCTACCTACTTACATAATAATCGATAAGACAATAAATCCGGAAGTTGGTGTTGAGTTGATGGATAGATATTATATAGGTAGTAACTTTTTTACGCAAAGACTAAATGGGGCTAAAGTTAAATGATTAGCCCATATACAAATTAATATAAGATCGCTTCCCACTTCCGAAAGTAAAATAAAAATTGGTGATCGCAAAACCAAAACGGGGTGCAATATGCTGTTCACAGTGATCACGGTGATCCACTATAATTTCAAAGGTTCCATGTTATACCAATAGATGGCGCTAATATCCACATCATACACTTTAAAACGCGGTCACCCGGGTTTTTTGAATGTAGCTTTGAAAAAATTTTACTAATCGTATTTTAGGGCTTTCACATTTTGTTCATATCTTTATATACAACGTACCTAATCATCTGCAACGTAAAAAACGTATATTTTGAGAAACTGAATTAGGAAATTATACTGAACAGTTAGTAGGTACCTATTTGTACCTACCTTGTTCTATTAACTGTTGCGGTTTATTGGTTAATAAGTAATTTAGTTGAAGTGGTTAGATAATTAACTGCTGGTCTTTTTTTGTCCGCAACACAGTTATCTACATAACTAACTAGTAAGTAACTAATAATATGCGTAGCATTCCGTCACCGAGCAGGTCGTAAGTACCTACTTGTGACAAACACCATCACCACCATTCTTGCTCCCCGCGGTCGCCAGACGGCCATTCTTCCGTTCCGCTCGGCAGTAGTGCGCTGCACGGACGATACTACGCTCGCTATCGACGGAAGAAAATGTGTGTCGCGTCCACAGTGTACTAGTATTGTAGTGGCAGTGCTCGTGAGTTACGCACGCGGACTTAACTTTTTTTAAAGAACGATCTACTCAAATAATGATGGCGCCCGAGACTGTGGTGACTACTGAACACAACAAACCTGCTGCAGCTTCACCTCAGCAGCAAGGCGGCGCGTTGGATTGGCTTAAATTCGACGTAAACTATTTCAAAACTCCACCAGGCTTGTTGAAAATAATACAACTTGTAAGTACCTATTCTTTTAACCTATTTGTGCTGACTAACAACTATAGAACCCAGTGTGAAGTTGTTTACGGTAATAATAAAGTTAAGGATAAAACTCACAACAACTTTTAAATAGAGATGTTGCTTACCGGCTATTAGATTATTACTATAGAGGAACTGCTTGTGAACTTATTGTAGCTACTGAAAAAAAAAAATTTTTTTTCTGAACGCCGTAATATCTTTCAGGATCTTTGTGTTTGGGTATTTATAGAAAGTAGGGTGTTAGAGAGTAGATTAGGTATACTAGACAGTTCTAGTTAATTTGATACTTAAAAATACATAGTAGTAAAAGCAATCGATGTAAATTAAATATTATTATTGTAACTATATGATGCATCGTACAGATAGGTGTGCCCTCAAAGTTACAAGCGCACGTACCGTGAGAGAAGTAGGTGCACAAGCACAATATGTTTTATGCATATGAGTTATCGAGGTCATAAAACGTTGCATATTATAGCTGAGAATGCTTTTTGGTGTCGTGGAGGTCAGTAGGCAGCAAGAGGCAGCGGGGCGCGGTCGGCGCGGGGGCTGACGCCGCAGGTTGTACGCCAGGCCCGGCATGCGGAGGAGGCGAGCTAATCTTACTCCTCCATTCACCAACGCTATGCAACTAATCATTATCAACATAAGATACATTGAATTGAATATCTTAGACTGCAATTGCGATTATACATTTTTTGGATTTAAGGAAGTCGTACTAATTGGATAAATACCTATTTCATTTCTGTCTCTACGAAATCTAGAAATAAGTAGATAGGTATATTTCAAAATAGCGATTGAAGGTACCTATCTACCCATATGATATGTTTCGAAGAAAAAAAACAATTTCACAATCCGGTAATATATTTCGCATCATCTTTAATCCTTTATAGTTTGTGCATAGTTGATGCATAACAAAAACAGAGTGACGCTACAACTATCGGAGATTATTATAGAAACCTTAAAAACTACAGCTTCTACAAGCGTTGATATAGGAATCGAAACGAGACTCGTAAACCTAAAAAAAAGAATTCCCGGTCTCGTTGAAGAAATTATAGAATCTACCTGAATGGCTATATGAAATATTCACTTCCACGAGGAAAAATAACAGCTTAACCAAAAAAAGGAAAAAAATGCTCGGTTCCTAATAAATTTTTACGCAGGACTCACAACAGGTAAAGAAGGGTGTCTACTAGACGTTTAGGTACCCATATTCTGAATATTGTAGTCAACTTGAACGAGTTTTGAAATCTACGTCTCAGGTTTACGTTAACTTGTGAATAAGTCGTTGCATTTGTATGATATTTTGTTATTCTTGTATCGTGTTGTTTTTCTCTTGGAGGTTTCCGATTTATGACGCAGTGAGATGAAGTCATTCTACATAAATATATTATAATTTGTACTTGAAGCATCTCCTAGAATTTTTAATAAGAGTCAGGGAGAGGGACTGGTCCTGAAGATATGTATCGACTTCAGTCCTCATTATTTATTTATTCTCACTTCAGTGTATTTAAAAAAAATGCTATCGGGGCGTCTAATCCCATTTATCGAATGCGATAAAACTTAAGTCAAGAGCTTAGTCATACGAAATATATTGTTTTTGTTTATTTGACATTTTAGCCATATGGTATTCAAAAATATGAGACTATTCCATTGGAATTATTGTACCTACGTAGGTCTGTCTACAAAAAACTAATAGATACTAGATAATAATAAATAGTTCCCACATAAGGAGTATCTTGTATAGGTAGGTACTCCTATTTGACATCGTCAGTCTTTTTCTTTTAAAGTTGCTTAGGTATGGGAAACATGACGACAATTAATGATTAACATTTTACTAGTTATAAAAGTAATTTACCAGGAAAAAAGGAAGGTTTAATTTAAATATATAACGCCGGAATACTGAAACGTTACTCAATTTTAAGTCGTGCTTAAATATCGTGCCATCTCTGTCTGAAGCAGGATTTCAATTGTCCGCGGTTTGATGAATTGTGAATTTACTAAAAAAAAAGATATCGCGTTTTCACAAAATTACGTTATCACCTTAAATACCCACGTAATAAGGTCCCTAATGGTATGTAATTAGCGGTTAAACCTAATGTTGAAACATCAACATTTTGTCCTAGCAACAAATTAAATGTAACAAGTTCAAAATTGGAAAACTTGTTTTACTACTATTAAATTAGTCTCCATAAGGTTATTAAATTTTAATCGAAAGATTAGAAAATTCTTTCTTTTGTTGATTGGGTGTCGCTGGTTATTATCAAAGGCATTTTGTCACCCACAAGTATTGAGTTGGTTAGTCAGTCAGGAGGTGAGACAAATAAGTAGTATTGCCTTATTTAAACTTTAATACGAAACATTCGTCATATTTGTCTGGGCGTGTGTTCGCCTTCGCCTACTCGAGCTCAACGTGCTGATATCATCGTCCGTCCTTGCCGCTGCCCAATATTACTGGTGCCCATATAAGTACCACTAATATTGTATTTGAACAATACTTTCAGCTGAACATACTTTATTTCTTATAAGGGAACCTTTTAATCCATCTGTATCTATCTAAGTAAGTAGGTATCTACCTAATTAAAACGTTTCAATATTCGACACTGTGACAATTATAATTTTGTGATTCGATCTATCTGGCAATCGTTAGGTAAATTAGGATACCTTTATTATTCAAATAGGTGTGTACATGATGTAAAAGTGCTGCACTGCAATTGCGGAATTACAACGAATGCAAGTTCGCAACAAGTTTAATCAGTAAAGTCACGTAATATTGTTAACTTCCTCCTGTTAGTCTTTGGATTCAATTACATTCATTGTGCTAATTGGAGCTCTTATTAATTTATCCTTTCGGATTTCTAGGCTATGTCTAAACGTTAAAACTTTGTAGTGATAAAGATATTCTCAAGAAAAAAATAAATGAAACGTTAATAGAAAATTAAAATTCATTCGCGTCTTGAAAGTAAATGCTTAAAGCCGACCTCAACTTGGGAGTAAACTAGGAAAATAAAACAGTTACTGTATATAGTAGTTGAAGCCATGTGGACCAACACCCCTAATGCTGAGCTAATTTTATCCTGGAGGGCACGTGCAGTCGATTTCTTTGAATTTAACAATGCATTTCGATCTTGAGACTATTTTTAGTTCCTGAAGGAATTACAAACTCGAATACCTTTCGAATGACCTTCATTTTTTAGGTAATACATACTAACATGCCTAGGTAATACTAATTTAGATCGATTTCAGTCGTGAGTAAACAGACATGGAGGTACTTAATTCACTTTTTGTTAGGGATGATTGCTAAATAATATATAATTAAGAAAAATTAGTTTTTGATGTCTGAAACACAGTAGAAAATACATTTGACTTAATTAAATTTTACTACCTACCCAGTAAAATGCTGCCAGATGTAAAGGGAAACATTATGTGACTAGTGCGCAGGCTCTTACGGTAAAATCTTACAAATGCAGCTTTCGCTTTCACATTACGTGACATTAGCAGTATTCAGTAAAAATATATTCTACATACAAGAAAAACCAGACACATTATAAAATATGAAATAATATAGACTCTATCCTTTGTCGGCGGAATATCAGAGCTTAACACCAAATTCTGCAATTGTGTGTACATTCGTACATCAGTTATCAGTAAATCAAATAACAAATATAGGCTAGTGATTGTTATCAGTACTCGATCGGTTATACACCATGTACCGAACAGTGAAACCAGAAATGTCATTCAACTGTGACCTTAGCGGTTGGCAGCACTATCGTTGGCGGTACCTGATAAACGTTCATGGAAAGAAATTAACGAATTTCAATGTATCGTACCGGATGAAGCTTCAATTATTTAAATATAATCTTATTTAAATATTACAAAATGAAAGAGAGTATCTATCTATCTAGGTACATTTTAATACAATGTTTAAGTTATCGAGTAGGTAAAAAGCGCTCATTCTTGAGACAAAATGTATATTATTATAAAATGTATCGATTCATCCTTGTACTTACATATGTTTCGTACATGTATCAAAATCACCGCTCCGTTTCCGGCTACCAAAGACACAAGTTACGTTTCGTTTGTTTTTGTAAAGGGATGTACTAATTCTGGACGTAAACGAAAACAAGCTCGATATTAAATATTAAATGCGTTTGTAATGTTTGTAAGGTTTACGTAACCTACTATGAATATCCATGAACAAGCATACGATGACACATATACGCCGACTGTACCTTTGCATTAATTCAATCTTGCTAAACTTTTTGACTGCCATTAATTCCTTTCAATTTCTGTAAACAACTGCAATGGATTTTTATCTTATGATGTTTTTTGTTTTAAGAGTTTTATGATAATACGATGAAGAATTTTATTCGGCTGAGAGGTAATGGTTTGAAGTAATGGCTAGATTAGTTATTTGTATTTTCGTCAATCTGACACATTTTTACTTTAGGTACACTTTTGAATAGTTCAAGTTTCAAGTTTTATAGATTAGAAGAATAAAAACAATATTTAAATATATATTACAGTGTAATATTCAAGAATTACTAAAGCTGCTCATTTAAGTAACTGGGTAGCTGCATCGAGCTAATATTAGGCATCCGTTATAAATGTTATTGTTTTCTTTTACGGCTTTTTATCTTTTGTCACGATTGTTAATAACGTGATAGCAACGATTAAGATGATAAACCCTTGATAGTGTAACAATATGTATGACATTATAGACTCACAAAAGAAATGTCAATGACCATACGAGCAAAGAGATGTTTTGTGCAGATCACATGTTGTCTGCCAAAGTACGTACCTACATGTCAAACCGCAAAAACAATAAAGTAATAATATTTATATTATACGTCAAAAAGGAGAAAGAAACATTTTAGTGAATGGAACAAGATATGATATCGTTTGGAATATGTATTGAGTGAAAAAATAACAAGCATATTAACGGACGATTAAAATTTTGCATTCGTAGCTTATTCGAGAGC